ACTTATAAATTTATATAATAATAAATTCGAGCTCGCAACAATATCGTGTTAAAAATTCATCGAATAATGACAACGAATAATATCTTGAATCCTATAAATTTATAAACGCTATTAAAGATTTACGAAATGCAAAAGGGGAAATCAACATCAAAATACGAAACGGCTACGCTTTTATCACGAGCAATTTATCATGAGTTGTCAACCTAGATAATTCAAAACAGTTATTAGCTTTTCAAACTTTCCGTTTCAGAGTTTATTTAAATATCTCACCTTCCTCCGATCTGATAACAAATATAAAAGATAAATTATGACAATATATGCACAAAACTTGCATTTTTCTCGACAACGTAAAGTCGAAGTCGAGATTTACAGAATAAAATTTTGATCAAAAAAATATTCAAGTAAAAAAAAAATGTTCTATAAAATAAAATATTTCTCTCCATGATGGATTCTTTCCGGTCCTAATAGATTAAAATATTGCCTAAGGTTTTTTCCAGATGGTCGATAATAAAAATAAATTCTTGGCTATTAAGAAAGGAAGATGCAATCGTGCAAAAGCAAGACTTAACAGTCTTATCAGCCACACTTTATCGTGAATGATAAAAAGTTTGCAGTATAAGATGTGTAAGACGGCGAAAGAGTCGAATAAGGTCGTATGGTAGATACCTAACGAGATAAGAAAAAAGACGGACACGAAAAAATGTGTTCATAATTTTTTTCACTAATTGACACATTGTTTCAGTAACATGTCGACTGCGACATGATGAAAACGACAAATATCTATTAGATATTCACGAGAGATAGCTGGCACGCTTGACGAAAACGCTTAATCGAGAAAATATGACTCCTTCTTCGTCCAGAAAAAAGAAGAATTTATTCTTGAAAAAACGCAATACGTTATTCGATAAAAAGCAAAAAATATAATAAGAGAAAAAATATAACAAATTATTCATCGTGGCATAAATAAAAGACACAAGGCAAACAGCTATTTAGAGAAAAGCATCTGTCAAATGTGCGGGATCGCTCGAATAACGATACGAAATAAACGCGTAACGTATGCAAAGCGGAATCTAAAGATTAAGCGCGCTAATTAAAAAGGCGTTAGGATTTTCGCAAAAGGACGGGGATACGAGGAGGAACAAGAACGAGATGCGCCGCAACGCAGCGGAGATCACACTGAGTGCCTGGTCGAGGGAGGGAAGTTTGCCGAGATCGGTGGGGATGCGTTTTACTCCAGGACGGGAGAGGAGGGGGGGAACGAGCAGCGGGTGGCGTAGGAGAAGAGAAGGCGAGAGAGAGAGGGAAGGTACACTCGTGTCGCGCGATAACCGTCGCCGAGGTGCAAACCAGCCGCGAATTCGAAAGGCGGCCAGTCGCTGTTGGCGCGTCGGTGACGACGCGTCGCTGGTTCACCGGACAGTGGATTAAGGTACATAAGCCTCGTCTCGCGAACGTTTCCGTTCCTCGACCGGAGTGTTTCTGTGCCGCCGCGAGTGACGGAAGGGAGCCAGAGTTGGGGGAAAATATACACTCGATTTAAATTTCATTTAAATAAAATAGTAGGGACGTTCCGATTCGCATAAGATTCTTGATGAAGACGTACTCTAGGTTCCCTGCTGGACAATGATACTTTAACACACTATTAGTCATCGAAACTCGGGTCGATCGGCGACTCTTTTGACGCAGTAGAGCTCCTCGAACATGCAAAATGCATTCGACACGCTCGAGTCTTCCCGAGTCATGTGTCGTCTTCTCAATCGTTGCATAACGCGGCAGCTGCATCACGCATCGGGATATTATACGCCGAGGTTCTAACCGAGAGACTAACGCGAGCGTTTGACGGATCGTAAAATAAGACTCGGTCCATGGCATTGAACCGCGGGGTCGATCGGCCGACCATCAATCGGCGACCACCAGCGTCGTCATTGCGGCCGACCAGAGGAGAAATTCCTTCTTAACGATAGTTGAGTTTATTCCGTGCGGCTCGAGAGAGAGAGAGAGAGAGAGAGAGAGAGAGAGAAAGAGAGAGATACTCGGTTGGATCATCGCGAGACCGTAATACTTGATTTCCCACGTGGCATGGTGCGGGCGTGCTATCTCTCACAACTAGCTGTACAGTCGATTAATCGCTCGTTTCTCACCAGCGACTCTGTCCCGCCCTCGAAGGAAAGCATCCGAGGACGCTCAATTGTCGCGAATGAAACCGACGTCGCGCAAAACGCGCCGATGACAGATGCCCCGATCAAACTTTTACAACGTATATACGGGGAATCTAAAGAATTCATGAACCTCGACACGGAAAAAAACAAAGTTTTTCTTTTTCCCAATTTCTTCCGAAAAATTCGCACACCTTCAACTTGTCATGCGACGAATATCGATCCGAATCGCGAGGAATGCGAAAGTTTGTGTAACAATCGAGGCTCGATCGAGTTCGGTGGTCGAGGCTAATTTCGACGAACCGCGAAATTTCCCGGAGAGAAGAAATTTTGCATTTGCATCCCTCTGAGGGTTTCCGCGTGACAACGTTCAAGTACCCTCGGCTCGCTGGGCTTGCCCTTTCTCGCCTGCTGTTATCTCGAAATTGAAAACAATGCCGCGAGACTAAACATTCCGCTCGGCGTTGCTCTCTGCGTGTTGCATGCATAACGTTACTTGAGTTACGGGCTGCAGGGCCGCAGCGACGCGAGTTTATTCGCTGCATTAAACCGAGAGGAGAAACAATGCGATCTCTGGATGGAGAGAATCAAGTCGCTAAAAATATCGCGAATATTGCGATTGAAAGGAGGAAATTTTTCCACAGTCGCATGATACTTCCAACAATGACTGATCGTGTACCTACATTCAATTTTTCAATCGAAAATCGAACATCGGAGATACCCGCGGTTTCTTTAATCCCAAAAATTTTACATCAACTTCTCTCGAATGTTTATGGTATGAAATGGGAGATTACGATGTGATAAATTGCTCGTTTCCAGCCGCGCTTTTTAATAAATCAATTTCTAAAATATCGTTAAGATTATGCGAAAAATCGATGATCGAACGAGAATTTATCTTCGTTGACGAGCGTAAAGTTCTTTTCATTACGCGACGGATTATTCGATGGGAGAAGGAGGAGAAGGAGGGGCAGGAGGGGGAGGAGGAGAACGAGGGGAAAGGACGGCAGGCACGGAGAAAAATGTGTCATTTAGGAAAAGGCGGTCGAGCACGTTCTCCCTAATGTAGGTTATCGTCGTCGATGCCGATACCAGTCGCGAGTCGCATTAAAAGCGCGCTATCGATAACGGGACCGAGCCAATATTGCGATTTTTCATTCGCGTAGCGAAAAGCGCACCGCCATTCGTTATCGTAACAAACATGGAAATGAGCGAGCTCGCCTCTGCTCTCTGTTCAAACACGATCGTCGGATCGTTGCTGCTATCGCTCGACGTATCGTAAACGTGATTTTATTTTCCGCTCGCGTCAACGCCAACGCTTCGATCCTGAACGCCGCTCCGACTCGTCATCTCGTAAACGTTTGGCCGACGCGAACCGCGAGATCCGCAGCTGCATTCAAATTCAGAAAACAGCGATCGAATGCCGTGAACAGCTGATCGATAAATAAAACTGACCGGGAGAGAGAGGCGTAATTCGTGTTTATCGCTAAAAAAAACATTCCTCTTAATGGATTATTCGAAATTAATACCGCGAAATATAAATATTTAGACAACGATTATCAATGCGAATAACAATTATGTAGGACAAAACAATTGTGCAGAAATTACATATGTGTGCAACTAGTGCTGGCGCACTTTCCGGATGCGACGATTCCATTTTTCCATTAAAAATCGCGCGAAAAAAACAGGCTCGTCGGGATAAAAAAAAGTGATGAAAGTGAGATCGGTGATTTCGACGAAACTTGAAAATGTCACATTTGCTCCGAAATTGCGACTAAAACGCGATCATATACGAAATACACTTCCATGTTCCTATTGAATTAGCTAAACCTAGCAATATCTGGAGGGGAGTTTATCAATAATCGATGCATAGGCCGAGAGAACGCTATGTATTATTACTCTCCCTTGTCCCCCCTCCCCTCTCTCGTTCCCCCCCTTATAATACCACATTAATTCGTCAAGCACGTCATGCGCGCCTCTAATGATGGTCGACTTTATTCAAATCGCATCATTTTAATACGTAAATGATGGGAACGGGGGTCACAATTACCGTTGAAATCCGATTCGAATATTTCCTCTCATTATAATTATATAAACATTTTGCTCGCGGATTGTTATATAATCTTTAAGCTGTTTAGCGAACTATACGATTTACGTGCATTAATACAATTTATATAATGTAATGTAATATAAAAATTTAATATGATATTAACATATTATAATTTATAAACATCAAAATTTATGTAATTTATTTCTAATTTAAAATTTATTTTGAATTTAAAATTTATAATATCAAAATATTACCGATAAATATTGATAATAATCAGATCAATCTTTAATTAAGGCATTATTTTAGCAGTGGAGCATTATTTCCTCCGCTGATAAATCAAGAAGCAAATCCTCCCCACATCTTTGTCGACTTATCGCCGGATTAGCCCTCGTCTGCCGGTCTTTTAATCCGCGAAAAAATTATTCTCCTCTACCCGAAACGTAAACTATCGAGGTGGTGAATCGGCGTCATTCCTCCCTCCGATCCTCGTTTATCGTTATCGCCGTCTGGAAACTGCGAATGCTTCCCCGGGAGGGTGCGGACGATTCTTACAAGTCGCGATGATAAAGCGGATGGGAAAGATAAGACGTTGCCGAAGGAATAAAGGCGAAATGTATTGGAACGGGGGTGTTGAGCGAAGGATCGCTCTTTCTCTCCATCTTTCCTCAAATTGCGTGCAGCAGGGAATCGCATACGATATTCTAGGAGGCGCGAGAAGTCGAACGATTCGTCGCGTGTGTGTGCTATATATATAACATATATATAACATGTATATAACATGTATATAACATGTATATATATGTGTGTCGTCGGTGAATCGACGTGGTATTACGAGCGAGAGGAAGAGTCACGTAATCGGAAACGATTTACTCCCACACGTACCTCACCTCGCACTTTATCGTCCCGTGTCGCGTGTCGAGGAGGCGAGGGAGGAACCGATGGTGGATCGCTATTTATCCATTCCAGACCGTGTTTCTGCGACGATAAATACGCGGCCCGTTCTCCGATTGTCCGCTCTCGGAGTCTCGGAGTCGAGTGTACATGAATATCCATTAATGAGGTGTGTAAATCAGACGGACCGAGACCGTTTAATCGTCCAACCGCGCGAATCCATCGCCGAGAATAATTCGCGTTGCCTCGCCCTCGATTCCGTTATCTTCGTGTTTCCCGGCTTTTTTTTTCTCTTTTTTTCAACACGCGCGCTTTTTCATTCTATTTCGCCGCACTTGTTCGTTATAATACCGGCGGAAAAAAACCGACGTCCGGTGTGAACCCGAAATCGATTAATTAATCTTCGTCGATCGTCGCGACGAGAAAGTAACGACCGTTCGTTGATTGGAAATGATTTACAGATCGATGCAGCGACATACGAGTTTTCTCGCACGATATTATCTCTGTTGTTGAAAACGAACGACATTAACGAGCAAAATAATTAATTCCAAAAGTGTCAAAAAAATTAGTAAACAAATTTCTATGAAATATATCATTTTTCTTACGTATACAAATGTATGTCAATATCTTACACTTAAAATTATTTTTTAAATATAATTTAACATACTTTTTTTTAATATAATTAAACTACTCATAAATTAATAAGATAATATACATAGAATAAATATCGAAAACTTGAGAATATATTGCATTTTTAACGATCAAGAAACTGAGTTATAATTTTTCCCGAGTTTAGTTGAATATCTTTAATTTCTTGTAATTATTTTAATTAATCCAACGAGCAATTAGCTTAGTAAGAGCGTCACGCGTTAATAGCGAGGTATTTCTTTATTGCTACTAAAAGTAAAGCAAAAACGAAGTAAGTGAAAAACGGAAGACCGGAAGAAATTTCGAGCAGTCGTTGGAAGGACTCGATCGTAAAGGGAAATTCTTCTCAAATCCTTTGAGTGAAACTGCCTTTCATTCACGACGCTCTTTTCACGTCTATCGATCCTACCCGCTTCTATCATGTGCCATTTCACTTTTTTGTTGCTCTCTGAATAGACCAAACTTTACCTCACTGAAAAACGAAGATATCAAAGATACATTTCGTTGGCCATCTATATATATGACAGCAGTTTCCTAAATTATATGCGCTATTTGCTGATGGAAATGTCGCTTTATATCCAAGATTTCGAGATGAAATGATATTATATCTGCTATCACCTCACAATGCAAGATTAATGTTTGACGATAAAAATTTCAAACTTGATAATATGTCTTAAAATTGAGAAAATTTTTTTATTTTCTCATTACTTGTCATTTCTGATTTAAAATCAATATTTAAAAATGTTCAAAATTTAAATTATTTTTACATGCTTTTCAATTCATCTCATGTCAGTTATATTTCAATCTATTCTAATGCATTTTAAAAAATAATATTAATTTTGAATATCCCGTCACTCGTATTATTTTTCTTGAAACACAAATTTAAATTTGTTTTCAGTCAAGTTTGGAGTTAAAGAGTCAGCCAAATAAGACTACTTCCTCTCGTTTCGTCGAGAAGCGATCGCGAATAACCGAGAAGCGAAATGCGAAAAGTTTACAGTAACGGCAGATTGACACATTTGTACGATAAACAAAACCACGTCATGTCATGAGCGAGAGCATTTTGATAACGCAAGAATGTAGGCACGATTAGTCACGCAACGATACACAGTGGGAGAGGTAACCGGGTGACAGATCGCGGATTATCATCATTGCATATATTGCGAGCTGTCATTTAGCGCAGTGTAATGTCGTGTGACACTTTCAACGGTTCTACACGTCGTTCGCGTACGATCGAGTGTGATAACGCGACGTAATATTTATCATCTTGGGAGAAATAAAGGGAAATGTTACTACTCGTTATCACTTATCGAATGACATGTCGTATCTTTTCGATAAATCGTGAACTAATTTACGCGGTGTGAAAAGACTCCAGATAAATTTAATCGAGAGAAAAATCCGAAGAATATTGTACGACAACTTATAAAATTGTCAGTCGTGTTAAGAATAAGATATACAAAAAAAATGCTAAAGATATCGGTAAAAGTTTGATGGAGGAGGCAGAGGAAATTTTAGGGTGGGAAGATTTCTTAATTTCTCTATCCTTACAGAAGGACGATCGTTTCCAGAGGACCGAGATCGAAGAGAGGAGGGATTCCGGTGCGATGTTCGAAAACGTTGTGCGCTGTCACCGACAAAATTGGATCGCACCACCATCGTCGCAGCGAAAGTACGAAAGGGCGTCGAGACGAATGTCGTAGTAGAAGACGATCCCACGAATCGGCGATTCGAATGAGCTTCCTGGGAGGATACCTTATGTCGGACGTCGTCGTCGACCTCGTCGAGAAACATGAATTCAGCGGGAGACAGGGCGCAGATTATAACCGCGCGCAGAATCACGTAATATTGCATGGCGTGTGTCACGTGTCGCGATAACAAGGTCGAGATAACTTTCCTTGGTGCAAGCGGGATTAGTCGGTGCAGGCGGCGATTTAATCGCGCGTTGAGTTAACGCGATCGAGGAAACCACCGGCGACCATAACTCGACGACGCGGATCTAAAGCAGCCAAGAGTCATGTCGAGACGACCTCGCGGTCGGCTCGACGCGGAATCATCGCCTGGCGCCAGCTTGGCATAAAACAGCCGGCTGATAGAGGCCAAGGAAGAAGAGGGGACCCTTTGAGCGTATGAAGGCAGAAGGAGAGAGAGGCGGGGGCGAGGGAGCGAGCGAGAGGCGCAAAATGGGAGCAACGAGATACGTGTTAGGCAGCGCGATCTTGGGCCTGTTTTGGAGCAGCTTACTCAAGGGTGTCCTGACCAACTCCAGCACCAGCAGGTGCGACTACCCGCCCTGTTCCTGCGACCACTACGGCCGGTTGACCTGCGACTGCAAGGACGAGGGAGAGGTAGGTTCGCCACAAGCCCGATATCCCCGACAAGCATTCGCGTTAGAATCGATTTTCGATTGAATCTCTCTCTCTCTCTCGATACCGCGAGGAGGTCGAGGGAAGATAGCGGGCGAGGAAAAAATCGCTCAACGCTATCGCCAACATAGATCTAGGCACGTATCTTCCAGCTCTCAGAGACAAGAAGGTATATTCTCTTCTCTCGAGACTGCTTATCGTATTTAACCCGACTCCCTTTCTCTCTTCAACACGAACGAAAAGATGTAACCCGATCTTGAATTCATACAATGACCTCGCACACACGTTCTCGACTTTACTTTTATATTAATGAGAGAGAGAGAGAGAGAGAGAGAGAAAATAACAGCGCGGTTAAAAAAAAATTATTATCTTCTACGTACATGAATATTTTAATATTCGTCTACTTTATTTTACGCACGTTATTCTCGTATTTTAACCGTATTTCTCTTTTTTATACAGAAGAGGGAAAACCTACGATATCAATAAATTTCTGTAAAATCTTATATAAAGCCGCATTTTCATGGGGGTTTATTTTTCAGTAGAGTTGTTCGAGATCTCAGGGTCGGGTTTCTAAGGCCAACTCGGTCTCTTTTCACCGCGATTTCGTTTCGACGATCGTCGTCTCCGATCTTCCTCACTACCCTTCTACTTCGAATCATCCAACGAATGATGGGAAGGGTATGCGCTCTCTCAACAACGAGAATTCATGCGGAAACCGCGGCGGGATTAGCTATCGCTATCGCACGAAAAATCTCAGACAATGCGACATGGGGCTCTGTCTGGCAGTCCTTTGTTCCGCAGGGGGACGTTATTCCATTTGCGAATTACCCGACGAGGAGATAAAGAGGCGGTATCGCGGGTAAGCCTGGCGAAATCGTAAAATCCGATCTCTCTCTCCCGCGGGCCGTAGTCAAAAAAAAAAGGACGAGAGAAAAAGAGAGAGAGAGAGAGAGAGAGAGAGAGAGAAGAGAGGGAAGATGTTTCCTCGCGATCTCTCTTGATGTGACGTCCCGTATCGCCTAAGGTTGCGACGCCAACAAAGATCGAGATAAAGCAGTAATCGCGTGTCCCGAGATTCCATCGAGGGCGGCTCCACCGCCCTACATAACAAAGGGAAGACAATGTCTCAGAGTTGCCGAAGGAAGAAAAAGAGAGAGGGTAGAAGGGACGATCAGGAACGAGCCTCTAATCTCCCGAGGGTGCCAACCGCGACGAGGGGGTGGAGAAGGGGAATCTTCATAAATTAGAGTGTGTTTACATAAATCGGTAGGAGGGCAGGGAGGGGGCAGACAGGTAGATGGATGCGCGAGAAAGGATAGAGATCCGTTGTTTCGTTTTTTATCCCCCGTGGCGGATATCACCCCTTCCCGAGCGAGGGGTGAAAAAAAGGGCGAGCGATCCCCCGGCGATCCTGGTGATCACGCGAGCCGCTCGCACGTTCGTTTCTTCCGTGGCGAGTTTCCCCGGCACTTCCGGCCATCCGCGATATTAAAGGATAGACAGAGAGAGCGTCTGCCCCTATAGGTGCTACAACTAAGCCGAATGATTCATAATCGCAACACGATATCGCGATAAACCGAGAGAGCTCGGAGGACTCGGTGGCGCGTCGAGACCGGAAGTCGTTGGTTTTCGTTAAATCGAATCGAATAGCGCGAGCTGGGAGATGTACGACGCGGTAACGCGACTACTATCGCTCTTTCATCGCCGCCGCTGCTGCTGAATTTATCGAATAAATTTGGAGAAATTCCTCCTCTCGCGCTGACGAGACTTTGAAATTCGACTTGGCCAAAGTCTCGCTCCTCTTTCGGACCTTCCCGTCTTTTTCCGTCGCGATAAAAAGCGCGGGAGGACGATAAGAAAATAATGAATGCGCGACTCGGAGAGAGGGCGGGGGGGATACATGAATATATATCACGCTCGACGATTACAGGAGGAGATAAAACAATCAGGCCTGTTACTGCAATTAAAGTCCCTCTCGCGCGTTATTTGATTTAAAATTCCTGAGATTTTATCAGTTTCACACGCGGGAATAATTCCGGATAACGTAAACGAGTCTCGCGTACCGTCACCGCAAAATTTCATCGGAAAGCCCGAGCACCGAGAGCAAATATTTCGCGATGCGAAACGACGTCGCGTTTTAATTGCGCGGGCCCCAAACGAGGAGGGGGAGGTAACGTCACCGCGTGTCCTCGCGAGAGGACATTATTGTCCGCGATAAAGCGGATTCTCTCTCTCGTTCGCGGCGAATGTCTCGTTGACCGTAAACCCGATCCGTAAAATCGGGAAGCGTGACAAAACGACCGGGAAAAAGAGAAGCAGGCTTTTACGAAAGGTGCGTCATTCCTATTGACGTTGTTACGTCCTCCTGATAAGCATGGCAAAAAATAGAATCACGCGTGGACTTAATCACCGAGCGGAAGATATAACGCGGATTGTAAGAAAGAAACTTGGCGTACTGAAACCTGATAAGGAATATAAATCGCACGAAACGGGATTGAATTTCTGTTGGCGGGCTAATTGCTCGAGAACGTGCTGCCCATTCATCATCGATGATACGTCACGTGTGTAAAGTGAACTCATAATTATAGCAAAACGAAGGATGTACGAGGGCAAAATGCATTTTTGATGTTAAGGAATATTTTAACGTATTTTCGATTCGTATTTTAAAAGCGATCGAAATTTATAATCGCGAAAAATTTTTACAAAATGCAAAATAGTCGTGATAAAATTTTTACAAAATGCAAAATAGTCGTGACAAAATTTTTATTATTAAAAAATAATAATAAATAAAATAATAAATTTTATAAAAACTGTTGTAAAATATTTTACAAAAAAAAATTATAAATAACAGCATACGAGTACATGATAAAAAACAAAAGTACTTTGTAAAATCAAGTTTGTCAAATTTTTAATTAGTAATCGTTTAATATATTTCTTGCGAAAATATTTTCACAAAGAATGTGATTTGGAAGAATTTTAATGTATCTTTAAAAAAATGCACATTCCAAATATAAACATTACTAGATTAAACAGAACTGAAAAACAGAGATGCATTTGAAAACATCAAGTTTATTATTAATAGTCGCAATTAATTTATGCGTTTATTGCCGATTTGAACACTTTGTGCAACAACAGAAGGGGGAAGAAAGGAAGAGGTACCGAGGTCTTTGGTGGCGACCTGAATAAGTGACGACGAGCGTAAATAATTGAGAGTGCCTTTTAGCGAACGCGACTTTAAACCCGCTCGCTTGGCCGTAATAAGCGAGACGGCGGAATAAGACACGAAACGGCGAAAGAAAGGGACCTCACCCCGGTCAGGGGTGTAAAAGTAACGGCCGTAAGAAGTACCGTTGGGGAAGCGTAAGGGTGCCACTTACGGGAAAGAGGCTCGCGGTTATGAAAATACTCGGGGAAATGGAAAAACGCTGCTACGACAGTTCATGTGCACTCGTGCAGGCTGAATTGCCGTCAAGGGTAAAAATGCGCGCTTAAGTAAATGGCAACAATCGCTCCCCGGAATAGCATCGATAGTAATAAGCCAATGGTAATAAAGCGCGATCGTGTGCGTACGAGAGAAAATTGATAAAGTGCTCTGTTTGCGCGCGTAAAGACACTCCATTAAGCTCCGTTTCCATGATAAATCGAATCGTTGCCCTCGTGCATGTGCGCGAAATTAAAACGTTAATTAAAACGTAATAACCACGTATTATCGATGAAATCTATCGCGATTAACTAACATCGGTGTGAAATAATTGATCGAGGCTAATCGATAATTTTCCCTCTCATATTTGGAGTAATTAAGGGATCTGGGTATCGGGGGTGCAATTTTCGAGCAACGCGAGGACTTTGACGAAAGAAAGCTGCCACGGGTAAAACTGTTACACATAAATTCTTTATGGATCGTAAAAGAGCTTTTATTTCCATTTCCGTGGCACTGTGCCACTTTCCGTTTGCTGCCTCGTTTCCGGTCTCCGAGTCGAGGGTTTCCTTTTTTTCTCCCTCTCTTCCTTTCGCAAATCCGACACAATCGCGTGTTTTCCCGATAAACTTAATCCCGCTCGTTAAACCAATCTGATTTTCATTCTCATTCTCCGCGTAACGATCGTCTTTTTATCGTTCAATTAAGAACGCGTAAGACACGTTCGATTACCGTCATCGATATTAGATCAATCTCGCAATCTCTCGCGAATTATCGCTCGAAATCACCTCGCAGATTAGCCCGCAAATTTGCAGCGGGGAAAATGTCACGGGACGAACAACTGTGGGCAAAAAAGCCTGGGAACTAGTTCCGAGAGACGAACTAACGTGTCCTCGAGTTTAATTCCCGGCGGGAATCGTTTCCCCGGTAATCGACGACCGCGCGAAAAAGGACATGGAGTTAGACGTGACGCGTGAAAACGTTTCACGAGAAGAAAGTCCATATCTATGGAGAAAAATTGCAGACAGCGAGAGAGAGAGGAAGAGAGAAAAAAATAGAGAGAAAAATAGAGAAAGCAAAAGCGTGACTAAAGCAGAAAGTACGAGCGGAATAAAGGCGCGTTGTTTGCGAAGGTCGGAAAAAAAAATCATCGCTTCGTCTTCTTTCTGGTTCTTGCAGCTTTTTTACGTGAGCGCGTCGAATCCTCGTGAAGGAAAATTCAAATGTCCATCGGGATCACGCAGAGTTACGATTCGATTTCTCTGCCGCAACCTACCTCTGCTCCATCTACTTATGAATTTTATGTGGTGCACGTCGAGAGCATTTCGACGATGGATAAGCCATCGCGAGGAACCAATTACATTTCTCGATGCGAGCGTCTCGGGAGATGCGATGTCGAATTTTCCGTAGGAAGCATTTTTCCGAGGACAATTTTCGTTTCTTCTCATTTTTTTTATTTTTTTATTTTTTTTTCGAAATGGCTGAGACTCTAATAATTCTCCCATTGTCTCCCTAGGGCAATCCTAAACAAAGGCGACACATTTTTTCAAATGCAATATTGTTGCACGAAGAAGCGTAAAACTTGAGTTAGTTTCGAGATAAATCTCCACCCCCGCAACACGTAAATTTCCCAGGCGAAACGTGCGAGCGATAAAAGTGGAGTCTCGTTTCGGATAGACAGGTAACGTCGGTTAATAATCTCAGCTCGACGTCGAGCGTCCAAAAGTAGCCGCGAACAATGGGGGAGAAAACAAAAGAGGAGGGAGTTCTCAAACAGAAGCAGGAAGGGACGAATGAGGCAAGACCTTAATGCGTAAGAACGACAGAGCCTGAAAAAGAATAATATAAAGGCCCTCCTCTCTTTTTCACGTCGCGCCTTTTTATTTCTGTCCTCTATTTTTACCATTCAACAGACACTTTGTCTCGCATATCTTTCCGCGTTGTTTCATCGCGATTCGATGACATAGAGAGATCGTGCCTCCAGTTTCTCATTCTTCGCTTTTTTCAAAAGGCATGTTTAGTGAAAATTTATTTCAACGCGACGTCGTAAAATGATTCGAAAGACAATGATGATGATTGTATCAGTCCTGAAGTCGTGAGCTCTCACAAAGTCAAAGAGTGTTATCTGTTTCAGAATAAATGGAATCTATTAGACGGAAAAGTGCGATAATTAATTAAAGAGCTAGCTTTGATATCTCGTAGTAAATCGAATTTTATCGAGATATTTCGACGTTGCAACGAAAGTTGCAGCTGTCACGAATAAATGAGGCAAACTCATCGCAAATAACGCATCATATGGGCAGCTCGATGTAAATTATCGAGCGTAAACAACTGATGAGAAAAAATATCGATTAAATAAGGGGGAATAAATCTGTGCAGCACATTGCCTCTCGATAGAGGGCGAGACAGAAATGACGACTACGATATGTCATGAAATTAAGCTGTCGGCCCTTCCTCCATGATTATGATAACGACATTATTCGCGATAATTAGCGAGACTGAGAGCGCACGTCACGAATAATTAGGATAGTTAGACCTGTAATTACGGCTATTCGACCTCTATTAGGGCTCTCCCTCTCGGTACATTGCGTTGCAGCAAATTGCTATGATTCTTCCTTCTTGAGGGAAATACATCAAAAATTAATCTACCGGCGAGAAAACCTTATTATCTCGACTCTGAAAAGCCCTGATTCCAAAAGTGTTTTATTTCTTGTTGGTAATTTTAGATTAAAAATGATTCGAGATGGTCGATACGATCCTGCTTATATATGACGCGTATTCTAGAACAAATTTAAAGATAATTACACTTTCCCTTCTCCTCTCTATATAAAAGATAAATATAAAAGATATGTAGATATATATATCGCGTGATATCGAAATAAAAGATCGTTTCAACTTGCAGGAATTGATCCTGACGACAGAAGGGGACAGACGGCTGAGTCCTCACACCAGCAGGATAATGGTGAGCAACTGCTCGTCCGTGATACTTGCAAACTCGAGCCTGGCGTCGATGGTCGGGTTACGCTCGGTGGATCTGATTAACGTGGCGAATCTGTCTCTGGTCAAACAGAGCTTCGAGCTGTCACCGCACAGCACGCGCACGCGAATCTCCGTGCGGAACAGCAGCATCGACGTGATGCCGAGCTTCGTGTTCCGCGGCGACGTCGAGGCGATCACATTCGAGAACGTGCGGATCGGCCAGCTGAGTGCCTTCTCGTTCGCCAACCTGCTTCACACGGACACTCTGCGACTGGCGAATTGCCGCGTCGAGACGACGGAGGCGCAGGCCTTCAAGAAATTCGACGTCGGTTATCTGCACGTGATCGGCGGCAGTTTCGGCGATCAGTTGCCGAGTCGTACCATGAACGACATCGAGGTGTACCACAAGTTCATGCTGGACGGCGTGAAGATGGGCGTCGTAAGAAGCAACGCCTTTATCGTGAGGAGTCCGCGCACGGTGGCGATACAGAACTGCGCGATCGAGAGCCTGGAGAGCGAGGCGTTCGACGTGACGGCGCGTGGCGCCGTCATCATCAAGAACAACACCTTCAGTAGCATCGGCGTGGGCGCTTTCCTGGGTATTCGCGCGGATCGCGAGATCAGGTCACCGCCGCCATCGTCATCGTCGTCATCGTCGTCATCATCGTCGTCGTCATCATCGTCGTCGTCATCGTCATCGTCGCTAGTCCACGGCCTCATTTTCAAGAACAACAGTGTCACTAGCTTCGAGGAGGGCTCGCTCATGTTCGACCGCGTGAGTTTCCGGCCGGAGCTCGACAGTCTACTCGTCGCTCAGGCCTGTGACTGCCAGATGTTACCTGTCTGGAAGAATAACGTGCTCAATTACACGAGCGTTTACTCGCGGTTCTACGTGAGGCAAAACTCGCTTGTGCCGCCCCCGCTGTCGCAGTCTCAAGAACCCATCAACGAGACGCCGGAGACCTTCCTGTGTCTGGACGGTGGACTGGATGGGGTACCAACGAGCTTCGTCGATTACGAGACGAGTCACTGCTCGCTCGGCGGGTCCATGCTCGTTCTCATTCTAATCATCGTAGGTGCCGTTCTCGCCCTGTTGGCGAGTATCTGCCTGATCGTCTGGTGCTGCCGAAGACGCCGGCGGAACAACAGGAAGAAATGGATCAGCGTGCCCACTAACGCGCCCGACGTGGTCTCCAAGAAGAACGGCGTGATCGGCAGAGAAGCGGCAACGTCCGGCACGCCAGTTGACAGCAGGATAACCATGGTGGTGCCGGACGGCAGGTTGTACCGGGAGACAGAGTTTCACGTGATCGTCGAGAAGGCCGAGCCGCTTACGACCGAGTTGTAACGAGACGCCCCGGGCGGCTCGACGGCCAGGCCCGCGATCGTCGCTCCAGTTGAAGAGGAACTCGAGTGGGTAGAAACGTCGAGTCGCTTTCGAGTGTACAAGCTGTGAAAGACGCTGTGAACGGTGAAGGTGAAAAAAAGGACCTCTGTTGTTAGGAGAAAAGGACCTCTTTCCGAGGCTCTGAGGGAGATTCTCTCTTCGGATTTAAATCGTACATAGATTGTGTAAATCGTTGCTGCTTGGGGAATAATAGAACGCAAAGCGCAGTCCCGAATCTTCATCCTTATCCCCTCCCCACGTCATGTTCTTCTATTTTTAATTTAATCGATTATGTCTCCTCTAGTACAATACAGTTCGTAAGCTTCCATTCACATATCACGAGCGGTCGCCGATTATCCGTCGCGCGTTCTTTTCATTCCTCTGCTGAACCGTCCTTTCTCCCGAAGGCGGTCACGTTCCTCCGCGGCGATTAAAAAGTTTTCCAGAACGAGTCACGCGGATTCGGGTGATCGGTCACCGCTGTTAGTTAAGTTTATCATTAAAATAACTTTGGAGAGAAAGAAGGAGAGAGGGAGAGCCCGTATCGTAGGGGACGAAGCAAGATTAGAAAGCAAGAAAGAGAATGAAAGGAGTATAACTCGTGTAGAGAAAATCCTAAACTCGCTGTCTTGCGTAAGATACGCGATTGGACCGACCTTTCGCATTTCTCGTCGTTTTAAGTTCACCGATCGATAACGATAGCGCGCGGTTATCGTGAAATTACGTATTAGTGAGCGTTGGAGCGAAAATGGGACGGTATCGAAGGACCAAAAAAATGGAATAACCGCTTATTCGAATAGCTGTGCCATTCCTGGAGTGACGTTAAACACGATTCGTGTCCACTCCATAGAAACCCTGATCTCGAGAGAGGGGAAGAAAGTGAAACGGACGGAACTCTTCGCGCTAAGTTTTCATATCAAAATCGTTCCCGAAACTCGTTTTTTATAGACAAGATTGGATAGTGATGTAACAAGTTATTGGACAAAAATAAACTGGCAGGATCAATTTATCGAGATAAGAGAGATATTCCATATCTCATACCAGTGGCGGATTTACAAGTTAGATAGTTCATATCGCTTCGCGAATTACATGTAACGCGTGTAATTTTTTCTCAATTAAAAATTTATTTATAAATAATTTTTATTCTAAATTATTTATAAATATTATTTATAATTATAATTATTTATAAACAATATACTTTAATTAAAATTAATTAAAATATTACTTGCATTAATTAAAATAAAACTTGTACTTTTTTAAACAGATTTTTTCTTTTGTTAAGAATAAATATAAAAATACCCGTTATTTTTAAATTTTTAAAGTTTTATGGAAGAGCCTACAAGGGATATTAATACAGGTGTCTGAAAATGTAGATCCGTCATTGTTTCGCAGGCACTTTTGAGGAAAGCGAAATTCGCCAGACAGTAAACTAAAAGTGAGTTAATCTTTATCCGCGTCGTGCTGTAAACTTTTCTGTCTCGTTATCATATTGTCTTATTAATGTCGATGTGTATTTATTTTTAGCAAGCTATTTGCTATAAAAAACTTGGCAATAAAAATTGTTGTTACTGTTATCATCATAATTTACACTTAATCTTAAGTACGTTTCTCTGTAATCAATGCATCGAGATATAGATCCACGAAATTTGCCGTATGTTAATAATGTAAGAAATGTGGTAGAAAATTTCAGCGAGACCATTTTGTAAAATCAAACGAAAACTTATTTCGAGTGTATATCCCGTTGTATACTTCGATACAGTTTAATCTGCGTATAACGAGAACACTTTTAAGGAACCCGATTACGAGCGAACATACCCCTAGATTATAATGATGAAAATAAATAAACCTCTTATCCCTTTTCCCTTTTCGATTAAAAGGAGGCGAGTACATCGCGACATTGAACTAATAATATTTTGATAATCGTAAAAAGACACTTCGCCAATTGCAGAAAAAAAATAAAGCTTATCAGAGAAACTGTAATATATCGTATCGGCAGAGTTGATTTATTAAACAGAAAGCCCAAGCAACTCGGAGCACTTGAAGACTTGAAGATAAGCGACGTTTCTTTGCGCTCTTTTCGAGCGCATGAAAGAGCAGAATTGAGCCTCGGGAAACTTTTTGTGCCTCTTATGCTCGATACCTTGAATTATCAAGGTGGGTCTTATTAGCATCCGCGTATTGAACGATCCAAGTCTAATACATCGCAACATGTGCAAACTGTATGCGCAGGTATGTATGTGTGTGTACATGCGCAATTATACCGTTGTAGTGAACAGAATCAGTTTGTATAATGTTATATATATAGTTATAATTATCGCGAGACTGTGATATATAACGACAGCTGCCGACTATATAATTTGTTTCGCATTGAACGATCAAAAAAATACAATAAAGAGAATACCAATAATATTGACTAATCATATTAAGACTCTAATCAAGGATAAACACATGTGCTAATGTTCCTTCAACTGGTACGTATATTATATATTATTTAATTTTTATTCGCGAAATTTAATTAATATTAATTTATCGCATTTGTATTTCAAAGATAATAACGAATCAAATTGTTGCACTTATATAATTGCAACGACTAAAATTCCACTCGGCCGCAAACCAGAAATTACGCGTAAATTTCTTATGCGTTTACGCGTGTATTGCTGAACACACAATATGTCACTGTGTGTAATTAGAGAGATAACGCATCAGATATTTATACAGTTTTGTGACCTATTTGCCATGGCCTTGTTGATATAACTCATATAATGCCATAACGAATAAATAAAATATCATTCCATCACAATTTTTCTCAAGATAAAAAAAGAAACCGTCAGAGATTGATATGACTGATTGTAAGTAAAACATGTAAAATTATCTATGCACAATATAAATGGACAATAATAACAATATCGACAACTTTTTATATTATAATTAAAAATAACTATTTTCTTATAATATAATATGTATTGCTACATTGTTATATTATAATATGTTACATTTACTCTATTTTTTTCTTATATTATAATTAAAAATAACTTTAAAAATTAAAAATTAAAAACTATTGAAAATTATTGTATATATTATTTAATTGTTTAAAAAAATTTATTTTTAAATTTTAAATTTTCCTTTAAAACGGTTTCTTTTTTTCAATAATACTGTATAATGTTAGGTACTTACCTGTACGGGAGCACACCATCCAAAGCCTGTGAAACTGTGGGGGGCGACGCGAGTGCGAATCCTCGTCCGAGTAAAGCCGAATGTACAGAGAAAATCCTCTTTGCCGTTTCCTGCATCGATTCCAAGTCCTCTTCCACCTCTTCCACTGAAAATTGTAATACCGCATAGATCAGTTTTTTTTTTATAAAAAGTTATGTTACACTTTTTACACAATTAAAATATAATAAGGAATTACAATTTTTTTTCGAAACGATATTTTTCAAGGATGAACCAAAATTAGAGACATGATCATATATCATGTGTCATAATATTTTAAAAAATATTCTCATAATATTGTATTCATACTTATTAGCTTATTAATATGTATGTAATAGAAATTTCTCTCAATCATATTATGCTTACAAGATACTGAAGGCAACAGTAAATTTTTCTTCATAAGACTTGCAGCACACGCTCCACCAAGAAAAGATAACTCGATTTCTAAATTCTTTAGACCATGGCCGGATGTAATCCAATCGTAACCGATAACTAAGCATTTGAAGCCATATGTAATGGAGCTTTCATTTTTCATATAATCAGATGCAGTTTCCAAAGAAAATACCACTTCATTTCCTAAACACAGTAAATAATTTATTAATAATTTACTGCAGTTTGCATCATATTTTTAGTAAATGCTGGATATAAACGTACCTGGTAATACAACAGCGTTTTGAGGCCATTGACTTTGAACATTGCTCAATTTATGCAATACTGGCCAATACAGAGGAGCATCTTCGTTCGTAATATTTACAATTGTCCTGTAAAAACAAAAATTAAACTTAAGTATCAAAAATGTGCACACAATATGCTTATATATTATAAAAGTTTGAAAGTATTATATTTACCCAGCTGAGGAATTCAGGATTATATTTGGTATATAAAGCTGCAAATAGTCTTCGGGTTGCGATGTTCCACACTCTGGTGTAAATTCGACAGTCAGCCATTTTACTGTTTCCGGAAAAGTAATTTTGTAATACGACACTGTCGCCGGTTTATAAGGATGTTCGCTCTCTAGCCAAGTATAATGATGACTAGTGGTAATTGGAGGAGCAAAGTGTGATTGAGTTTCGCTGTCTTGGGATATTTGAGACGCTCCCATCGTAGATAGTAAATTTAGAGCTGCGATGTGTGGCAACATCTCTTGTATTAATGTAAGGATTTGCACGCTGCTCTAAAAAACACAGAAGAAAATAATTTATATTATATACTTTTTTGTCAAACTTATTTAAATGTTATTTAAAAATCGAAAAAGTTTATAGTTTATATATTTGAAAGAAAGTTTCAAAGGCACTTACTCTAGGATCTGATGTAGCCAAGGGACTAATATGTGCCATTACTAGTGGCAAAAGAGTCGTTACAAAAGCAGCGTTACCAAGGACTTCATTAGCTATTACTTCCTCTGCTCTTTCTCTCGCCAGAGAAAAAATTTCATTTGATCGTTGAATGATTGTTGCAGTCATAGCAAGGGTACATTTTCTCGCCTGTACTTCCGCCATAGCTTTATTCGTGTGTTGCCCATCGGAATCTTGCGGATTCGAATAATATAAAATATGTGGTATTTGACCTCTAGTTTGTGTTGTGCCTGCAAAAGCATTACACATAGCATATTATAATTCAGATATTACATGATATTATATATTTTTTTAAAACATAAGCATGTGCAATATTTTAAACACACCATTAAAACTCAGGGAACAAGCTGTAAACGTAAACGTTGTACCATCCGCTCCTTTGACAACGCTCAAACCACCATCACCATTACTAGTACGTCCTCCACGATTCCGTAATCTAATAGCATATTTAATATTTTCTTTTATAAGAACTGGTTTATCAAACTTTAATTCTACTATATCATTAACACAGTCATCTGGTCCAAAGGAGCCTCTTGTAAAATCTAAGCTGCTCCAACGCTGAGTATGCGATGGATCGTTACCAGTATTATTTTGCTATAATAAAATAATAAATACACTGTATAATTCGAACATACAAGAATAATAGAATATTTATATGTTACACTTACATCATCTAGCAATTCCAATTCGTAATCATATACTCCTGCACCTCCATAAATACCAACACCGGCTATAAGGATGCCTGGTCTATCAACAGAAAAACAGATAGCATCCGGAGAACCGTTACCCGTATTCCACGATCTTGATTGATTTGTTCTCGTGAATCTCGACGGTGTGGTATACATAAGCCTACCGCAAGCCGCTTGCAGTTCGTCTTCGTTTCCGCTCGATTGCGCGGCCAATTCGGCGATGACTCGCGCCAATAGATAACAGCAATGAAGAACCAATTCCGGCAGAGATTGAGTCTTTTCTCTACAAAGACTTCTCTTGATCGGTATTAATATCAGATCCAGTAGTCTGTCGAGTACTTCGCGGAACGACCAATTCAAGATTTCCTTGCTAGCGCTTTCTACTTGGGACTTGTAGCTGATTTGTTCGACCAAAATCGGATATTGATGGGTCTCTGTAGAATTCATCATAAGCAGACCGGCATTGTCGGATGGGCTGAGCTGCCGTTTTACGCTGTCGCTGCTATCCATGATGTTGCTCAAAATAGGAAATGTACACCTGAGTCGTATCGCCGAATTGCACAACGAGGCTAGCACGGCGGAGAGAAGACGATCCTTCGTAGTTGTACCTTGTTCTTTATCGATCTCCGATAATAATTCGCACAAGCACGTCCATTTGAGATACGCAGTAGGATAAAATGCATGATAACAAGCTACAAACGTCTTGTGACATTCGTCCAATATATTGTTCGTCATCTTATTTCCCAAGGTACTATTGGAATTCTTATTCGATCGCGTTTTCCCTTTAGTCTTTAGAGTGATCGGCAAGGAATCGGACAAGATTTGACGCAATAACGCCCGTACTTCACCTATACATTCCGCTAGACGCACCGATTCGGGAGGACTCTTTTTTACAACATGATTAGGATAAATTTCATTGGTATACGTTCTGAGTAATCTTAGACTAGCTTTACTTATGTACACTAACCGCTCCATCTCGAGCAACGCGTGAGTCGATGACGCGATATGAACAGCCGCGTCGGCCAGTGATGCCTTCAATGTATTCCAGCTCCATTGAAGAAGAGATATCAAGGACTGGAAACATTCCTTTGTAACAGTTCTACTGAATTCTCTCTTCAAAACGTAGATTGGTTCAATTTGATCTCTCTGTCTGTTCGATGTTTGATTTTCAGGTGTGACAATACGATATAGCAATTGCGGAATTTGACCGGCATTGACATCGGTGCCGTTGTTAGATCTTTTAGACGATTTAAAATAAAACATCACCTGATCCTCGGCCGTGACCATTCCTTGCCCACCGGAACCGCAATCGCTGGAAGGTCCGCCGACTTTAGCCCATGCCACGTACCACCTGTTTGCTTGCAAGGAAATCGGTTCGTCAAACAGAATTGAATATTTCTGTCTTGGTCCGCATTCGTATGGGATCTCTTCTGTCTCCGCGAGAAGCTCCCCGTCGTTCTCTTGATCTCCGCCATCAATTCCGATATCAAAGAGCTTTATCTTCGCGGTATATTCACCTCGACCGCCAAATAAACCATATCCTCCTAATATAATGTCTGTATCTGGCATAAATCTAATCGCTTCGATCGAATGAGCGGAATAACCCCATCCTCCGCCATGACTTTCAAATCTGCTGACGGTAGCGTAATCTTCGCGGCTGTAAACCTTGCCGTGTGTTGATTGATTACATTCGTTTTCTTCGACTATCGATAAGTTCTCATCCTGAGCCTGCGTCAATGTATCCAAGCAAGCTAATAAATGCATCGCTGCTTGAGAACGCGTTACGAAACAAGTCGAAACAACCGGGAGCGCCAAGCCTGGATTGAGTATAGATGCTTCCAAACTGGGTATCGTCCGAGTTTCTGTAGATGTTATATTGTACAAGCTTATCTCGTTATTCACCGAATTGAAAGTCCAAATAACGTTGTATAAAGGATCCAAACACGCTGCACAGTTGCTGAAATCGACCTGATCCGCGCCGTTATAACTGTTGCACGTACCGTCGCGTTTACTTATCACCAAACTCTTGAAAGAATTCGCGTGCTCGTTTTGATGAGGTATTAAAATAATGCAATTCTTATTCGCCATAACGGTACTTCTCGTCAAACTGATGGAATTAATTTCATCTATCTTAACGTAAGTTTGATCCCCGGCGGCGCCGATCCACGTCGCCCGTCTACCCCATCGAGGACCGATATTTGGAACTACATTTGGAAAACTATGCCATGGTTGAGACCGATCGGCGCGACGATTTACCTGGGAACTAACATTCGTAGATTCATTTTGGTCGTTCCACCAATTCATGCCGAGTTGTCCCTTTTGATACGCGCCGAAAGTGTAAACTTCGCCCTTGGACGTGAGTATAACGGTATGATTGCTCCCAGAAGCTACTTGGGTAGCAATAGTTGGCAACTTAACTTGAACCGGTCCCGCATGCGCCACTAAATCCCCGACGCCTAACTGACCGTATATGTTACTACCAAACGTGTACACTTCTCCGTTTTGCAAAAGTAACACTGTATGATGTAAACCGCAAGATACTTGAATCACGGGACTCTCGCTGGGAATGGGAACTCTGGCCGGTGATATACTGGCAATTCTCGCAGCGTCTCCCCGCTCCACATCGCTACCGCCGACGCCTTCTTCGGCCGCGAGATTACCGCTCAATCCCAATGCAACTCTTTCCAGAAATCCTTTTTGCGCGATACTGGAGCCGGCGATACGTTGATTATTCGAGCTTTTGATTTTTACTCCATATTTAACGGTACTCGGTCCTGCTTTGCTTCTTTGCCGTTGCTTTATCTCGCCCAATCGTCTCTGCAAATATTCGCGAAAGTTGGAGCCCGATAAGCCATTGCTGCAACTTTTTCTCGCACACGTGCGGCAACATCCGCATTCCGCGCATCCGCTATCTCCTTCTCCGCATCCGCACTCTTGGCCAGGATTTCGATCGGGGCGTATACTACTCAAGCATGATATACTGTAGCCGGTACATTCTCTGCATATCGTGCAAACCATGCAAACACGATGCCTCCATTGATGTTGCCCTGGTTGGCACATGCCTCTCGTTTCTTCCCAATCTTCTGCAGGATCCACATTTTCTTCTTCCGCTATTATCAGTTCATCTTCCCCTGTGCCCATCTCCATTGCAACCACTGACATTTCTTTGTTCACGGTATGCACTGTCGCCGAGTCGCGACCACACTGTCCTTTATTATTTATACCAAAAGTATATAAATGTCCTTTATTTGTTAATGCAGCGGCATGAGCTTTCCCTAACGATACGCGAACTATACACACGTCTCTTAAATCGGTAACTAATCCCGTTACTGGATCGCTATGTAGTGTATCTTTGCCAAACATTAATAGAGAGCCGTCTTTCGTGACTAAAGCGGTAGATCCGTTATTGCAAGCGGCGTCAACGATAAACTGGCCTTCTACTTTTGCCATTTTCTTTGGTTTTACCGGTTTTGGTTGCCTACGAGCTTTATCTAAAATAAAATGAATAATTATAATAATTTTTATCATTATAAAATAAGTTATTTCTTTATACAACAATAACTTACTACTATCTCCATCTTCTCCACGTCTAGCAGTGCCAGTAAATAATACAGAACCATCTTCCATGACCATTACAACATGCTGACCATCATGACCTGCCGCAAAATGCGCAATTCTAGGACTTTTACCAAAAGTAAGCTCTAACCATCTGTTAGGTCTTGTATTACTTTTCATGCCTAGACAAGTTCCCTTTCCGCTATATAATAACTATACAGAATGATAGATTAACATTTTATAAGTAAACTAAATATATAACATATAATATTGAATGAAATGCATTGAATAATATTTAAAATATTTTTTGAAATATTCCTTTGAAACATGATACTTACTTTTCCAGACACTGTTTTTAGTAAACCAAATTCTTTCCCTGCTGTAACCATTGAAATTTCATCATCGCATCCCGGATTCAAAGTATGTATCGTTTGTTCCTCATCAAATGAAGCATATCCAAATATATCTACGCATTTTCTTGCTAATTTCAGCGGCAATTCAGAGGCAACTGTTACAGGATTACTTAGCGTATTTATTGTACGCACTACAAAGCCTTCCTGTTAGGAGAAGATGAGAACAAGTTGATTATATAAATATCTCAAACAATAATATGTATATAACTGCAATAATTACATCTTTGCCTGCTGTTATCATTCCTAAATTTTCGCCATCAGAGAACATGACAGAAGCTGACCAATCTTTTCCTTCCAACACGGCAATTCCTGTTACTACAAGCGTTTCTGCATTAATAATTAATAATTCACTCTGTTTCCTGGGTGCACATTTGAAATATAACGAATTCTGTAAATAGAATTTTGCATAAGTGATACTTATTATTTATTATTTAGTGTAGTTGTAAACACATTAAAATGAATAACTAACATTAGCATAACCAAGCCATCCTATTTCTGTTGGATAAAAATCTGCTTTATGTATGTATATATGTCCCCATATTGTACCACCATGGCCACTTCCAATTTTCAACAAACCACGAGATGTATGCAAATATAAATACTTTCCATCGCTCACAAAACTACGTTCATTCAATACCATATTGTTCATCTCATTTGGTAACTTAAGCGTAGAGGTATGTATCTTGGAACACTTAGGAACTCCATATGTAATCCAATCTGGTCTCACGAGTTTACCTAATAAAACAGCATGAACGCTTCTCTGCAGAGACGTTAATACACATGGCATCTGAAATACAAAACCTAACTTTATAGTATACTATATTATGCTATATATCAAAATAATGTTATGACATCTGTACAAGATACCTGAATATTTTGTATCGCTAATGCTCTGGGAGACATAAGCAAAGCTGCTATAGCCGCTAGCAAGCGCCCAGTGTCTCCTCTAACCACAACAAGGCTCAACAAACATGCGCAAGCAACAGCTGTCAAATGACTGCCATCATTGGCTGCGGCTGATTCGGGACCATGAGATGTTGCGAGATCCAGTAATAAATCGAATAGAGGATCTAGGAATGGATTATTAAAAAATATTTAAAATATTTAAAATATCAATTTATCAAATTTTTAAAGTTTTTTGATATTCAAAGATACAAACCAATAACATCGTCTGGTTCGAATTTGAGGCCTTCTGGTAGTTGCCCTTGTAAAACATCCAATAAAGCCGATAATGCTTTTGTACATAAGATTGGATCAATTGTTCTACTCTCACGCATCAATGTAAAAACACTTCTTAAACCAATACCTACAATCTTTAAAAAAGACTTTTGTTACAAATATATTACACATTTATCGAAAAGATTGATATTATACCTATACATGCGCTTTATAATATTACAATACAAATTTAAAATATAATTAAATATCGCAGTAAAAGATACAAGTTAATATAGACATGAAACATGAATTTTTACCTTTGGTAAGTTTTGTATAGTTGATATTCTATCTTCATCATCACTTTCTGTATCTATAGTATCACTAAGATCAGGTGGTGGAGAATTACAGTTTGACGTTCTATAAACTTCACTTGACAATTTTGTATGTTTCTCTAGAATCGCATTTCTCACACTAGCAAATACAGCAAATGCTGAAGCATTACAAGACGTTTCTATCTCTGGTGGATTATTGTAATTTAATTCTCCATTTAAATCAATCTGTACACATATAAAGATTGTCAAAGTTTATTTTACCCTAGACTAGAGGAGATAAAATTGATTATTATAATTGCTAATACCTTTTTCTTGTCCCGTTTACGAATAGCTTTATTTTTCTTACATTTCCTCCATTCTCCCTTATTCCTACAATAAAATATTATTATAATTATTATAATAACATCAAACTACTATAATTTAATCTTCCATTTAAATTAGTTTATATCCTTAAAACACAAATGTCAAAACATATTTGAATTGTATATATAGCAATAATCGCACATAAAATTTTATTATAGTTATGATAAAATTATAGTTTTATTATAAAATAATGTGTATTATTATTAGTAAAATTTTATTATAAACTAATAATAATATAATTATACATACATATATTATTATAAAATTTTTGTTTATTCTTTGCGAACACTTGAACAAATTATTCTGTATACATGACTAAAAATGTTAATATTGTAAGGAAATAACAGCAGGGGGATTCGAAATCACGAGGTTTAAATATATTAAAGTGTTGAAATTAAGAATAAATAAACGAGAAAAAAAGAATTCCTAATAAACAAAAAATTTGAGGTTACGTTCTAAATCGATAAAACGCGCCCGAGACGTGTTTCATTAACGCCGCTTTACCAATAAAGAGTCTCTCTCAATCAGAAACCGAATTATCTAATTTCTACCGAATCATCAACCGGTGGTTGACAACCGGACAGCCGGTCAGCGGGTGAAGTCGCCGCCGATTTGTCGAGTAAACAAATCGCGAGAGAGGTTATACGTCACAGGATAATTTCGCGAATCGTACCTCTGCGCCTCGGCGATGTTCCTGAAGAGATCGTAGAAACACTTGGCGTAATTGTCAGGCTCCGGCAAAAGCCTCTCGTTCTCCCCGGACACCATGATTCGCGGGAAATCCTCGACGATATATGAGTCACCAGGTCATTTTTCGCGACACTATTGATCGTTGACAAGCCGTCTAGTCGTCTTCTTCCCATGTGACGATACCACGCATCTCGGGAGCCTGAAGGAGAGACGCTCCGGCGAAGACCCCGACTTCCTCGACGAGCGCGAAACGTCGTCCTCTCGCGACCGGCGATCTCCGTCCGTTTCCCCGGTCAAGATTATCTCCCTTGGCGCGATTCAAAAGCGAAACGTCTCTCGCTCCGTTTCGCGTTTGTGTTGACAGACGTGCCACTCGCCTGACGCGACTTCGATAATCGAAACGATAACCGAAGCGACTCCGAACCGCGCGAACTTTGGAAATGGAACGTATTTACGTCGTCGCGCGCGACAGATGAATATTTCAACGTGGACGCCAAATGTCAACGCGTCACATATACACAACGCACACACGTGCATGGACGTATGTACGTCATACGTATATTAAATGAAGCATTTTGCGATAACATACAGGAAATTCTATACATATTATTGCGTCATATGTGAACGTATGTTTGTCGAGGGAATGTTTATTACACAGCCGACGAAACAATGAAAATATCGCGATATAAAGCGAGGTGTCAATTGAAAATATTTATAACGCGATCATTTTTATCCGGCTTTCCAAGTGTCAATGTTACACGTGCGAGAATGTCAGGGACAATTCTTCTCACCTGTTCTGAGTAAGACGGGGAGAATCGGTGGTTCTTTTTTTTTTCACAGCGTATACAGCGCGATACGAGTCGATTAATTTATTAATCGCCGGATTGCTCGACGAGAGGCGATCGAGAGGCGATCTCGGGTTGCGCGAAATATCGGTATCTTGTACGCGTGCGTCTCGGGACGAATACAAAACGCGATACGACACAATCTACACGAGATAGATACGAAGATCCGGAGAACAATTCGATAACGTGTCACGTCGAGACTAGGGGGGCCATTCGTGGGGAGTCCTTACCAAGTATTAGTACTTGCTGCCCCGAGACTGACGTCGAGCAGGATCAAACGCACACATTCCGCACGTTGTGTTCCATCTATATCGTGAAATCATGTTGTGATAGATTATCGAAGATACATAACCTCGAAGGCAAAGGATCCACTCAAGTTTCGTTTCTGATCGAAAGATTCCTGTAATCATATAAAATGTGATATTTATATAATTATCTCTTAGAAAAAAAATTCAAAACACACACACACACACACGATCCATATTTTTATATAAAGACAAATAAAATAAATTGAATATCTATACGTATATTGATTCATGAAATGCATCTTGTTTTTACCTGAAATCTTTCTTAATTTTCTGTTAGACTAGCAGAAAGGAGGCATGCATGAATTTTAAATATGTGCAGTTTCAAACTGAAAAGCAAGTTGTAATGAACAAGACTTGAGGCGTGCACTACTTTTACTTTGCATTTATTTGTGAATCATGAAGCTGTAATGTTAAAGTAACACGAAGCAGATAAAAGTATGCTTATAATAGTATATCATCTGTATGTGGTGAAAAGATATGACTTGTCATGATATCGTTTTCGGTAAGTAAAAATATTCTTGAATTATACGTATCGTATAAAGCAGTATTTGTCATTTTCAAGTTGTTTACTTTCAGCCTAGTCAAATGCAAGATTTGATAGTACGCTTGTTCCACTGCTCTGTAAATGTAACTTAAATAATAGGTAATAATTCGCGAAAGTTATTAATAAAACAAACTTGTGGGAATGGGCAATTGTTTGTGTAAAGATTCTCCAGAGCTCGAGACATATGGCAGTAACAATCATGCACAAATTCAAAATACCATAATACCAGAACCGAACATAAGTTTGGTTTCGTCCAGCGATTCAGCATCTTCATCTTTTAAATTTCCCACATCGGCAAACATTGACAAACTTGTATTAGAGACGCTTGGAAGTCTTGATACTCTGGTAGATAAGTAAGTACAAGACATTGTAATACCTGCAAATATATTTGCTTTGAATTTTTAATGTGGATTTTTGTCTTTACATATTTAGCGATCATGAACCACCACCAGCAATGTTAAAATTGAATGCTATTGCGGACAAGGAAGATGGTTGGATACAAGTAGTTAGCTCTATGGTCAATGTTATTCCAATGCACAATCCATTAGGACCTTCTGTTATAATATTACTATTAGATGATTGCCCTTTACCTTCAAAGGTTGGAATTTATTTGTTACATTAGAAAAATTAAAATAGCAATAATAAAAATAATTATTTTTTCACACGATAGGACTCTGTGCTACGATTATCACACATGTTTCAACTATCTCAAAGACTTGGGCAAATACAAATTACAGCTACACAGCAACGCAATATATGTGTTGTGCTTGGTTGCATCGCAGAGAAACTTGCTGGTCCTAGTAGTATAGCAATATTATCTGATGCCACTTTAGATTATCTTGTTTCAAATTTGGTATGTTAAATTTTATATTTAATTGATTTAAAAAAATATGCAATGATATATCTGTTAATTATTTCCAACATAATAATTTTATTTTTTCAGCGAGAGGATGTTGAACCTTATGTAATGTTATATTCTTTAATAGCACTAGAAAAGTTTGCACAGACAAGTAAGCGAAATACAAAGCAATTAAATGTCTCTATTTTTCATTTTAATTAATATGCAATCAATGCATTAATATTTATAATAAATCAACAGGTGAAAATAAGGTAACTATCAAGAAACGCCTCATGTCAGAAAAGCAAAATCCATTACTAGAATTGGAGAAATGGGCCACGGAAACCCATTATGTACGTCGTCAAGTCGGTTTCTGTGCACAATGGTGTTTAGATAACTTATGTAAGCATAATTAGTTCTCAGACTTTCTCTCTAAATGTGTTATGTTTAACTTGTACCATTCCACAAACATAATAATGTATATAATTTATTCTTGTTAGTCTTGATGGAAGGTAGAAAATATTCTCATGACTCAGTCGATGTGACGGGTATTAATGTAATGTTAAATACAAAGGATGTAAGCGAGTACCTGAAAATATCACCCAATGGTTTGGAGGTAGATATTCTGCTATATTATATATCTTTTCTTAATGTTATGAGTGTTTTATTATAATCCATTTTAATCTAATGATTATCTACTATCATTTCAGGCACGATGTGATGCATATTCATTTGAAAGTGTACGATGCACATTTCAAGTAGATTCAGGGATATGGTATTATGAGACACTTATAATAACTACAGGAGTAATGCAAATTGGATGGGCTACAAAAGATAGCACGTTTCTAAATCATGTAAATGATTTGTATCCACATTTCAGAATATTTTTATTAATTTACATAATTTTTGAAAATACTATTTCTATTATTATACATATTTAGACAATTTTTATTATTTTTGTACATGGATACAAAACACTAATTTTGATTTTTCTATGTTAGGAGGGATATGGTATAGGAGATGATGAGTTTTCTTTGGCCTATGACGGCTGTCGCAGACTGATTTGGTATAATGCACGAAGTGAAAAATTTCACGACAGACCATGCTGGAAATCTGGTGATATTCTGGGTTGCTTACTGGATTTAAATAAATTAGAGATAATATTTTCAATCAATGGTGTACCTCTTAAACCGTGCATTCAAGTATTTAAAACAGTAAGGTACATATATATTTTTTTTTAATCTCATGTTATCTAATTTTTTCAAAAAAATTCAAATAAGACTACTTATTGATAATACTTATGGATATTTCTAGATCTGGGTTCTTTGCAGCAGCTAGTTTTATGTCATTCCAACAATGCCTATTTAACTTTGGAAATGCACCTTTTAAATATCCGCCTACAGATCGAGAATTTCAGAAATTTAACGATTATGCTACATTGAAGCCAGAAGATAAAATCATACTTCCCAGACATATATATCTAGACCAATTGCGAAGACTTAGTGTTAGGGAAGATTCTTGTACATTATGTTTTGACCAGAAGGCATCAGTAAGGTTACTGCCATGTAACCATAGGTAATATATAATGTATAATTATATATTTTAATTTGAATTATATATAAATTTTTACAGTAATGTAATATGCAATAACTTTTCTAGAGGATTTTGCCAAAGGTGTTCGAAACAATTGATTGAGTGCCCAATGTGTAGAGCTACTATCGAAGAGATAGCCTCAGATAACATATGACATCAATCATATCATATCAATGATGTTTTCTTTCACTACTTCTCTTATAACATGCAACTTTCGTGGCAATGTCTCGAGATAATAACACTAGACAGTTTGCGCTATATATTGTATACAGTTATCACATGTCACATAGTATTTTTCTTGCAATGCATCGCGTTAATAAATAAAAAAGACTACAAATTAATTGTAAGTGGAAAAATTCTATGATGATGTATTATTAGAAGAAAGATTTGAACAAGTTTTCGTTTTAAAAATCAAAGGACTCTAAGCGCAAACACAAATGTTATATTGGAACAAAACGTTTCTCTTTAAAACACTTTTCCATACTTCTCCATACTTTTTCTACTATATAGATTAGAAAAATATTATTTGTGATTTAAATATTATTATTCCCAAGATTTTAAAATGATGTATATAATTGAATATACATTATATAAATATGATTAATAAAGAGAAGCAAATAGATGAAAGAAAACTATTAGAAATGAATGAAAGAAAATCATAAGAGCATCAAAATCAGAGAGGTCAGGAGAACCAATTCTCCTAACTCTATTTTAAAAAAAGTTCTACTTCTAGGCACTTTCCAAATGTCTAGAACGAAAGTAACTTGTGTAATAATTATTGTAAAAATCGAACCAGATATATTGGCTATTACAAGTCAATCTGCAGTTTTTAATGCATAAAATAAAAACTGATAATTGAATAATGGTTTTGTTTGCTTTTTTCAAGAGAAATTACTTAACTTTTTTAATTATTTTATGTTTGTTTAAAATATTTTAAGCAGCTACATATTTTTTATTCGTCAACCAGATTATCTGAATTTATTCGACTTGAGAATTGTTGTCTTTGGATTTAATATATATATATATATATATATATTAATATAAAGATAAAATTTTGTCTGAGGATAATTTAAACTTGGGATATTTTGATTGTACATTTATTAATGTTACAATATTCTGTGCAATATGCACAAGATCTGCATATTGACTAGTATTAAGTCTGTCTTTTTATTTTATATTTTTCATAATGTCAAATAGATAACAATAGCTCTTTTATCTTTTGTGCCTAATGATTCTCACCTATGACTGAATCGTTCAATTTGAAAGAGATATTCATTCGCTCTTTCTCACTCTCTCTAATTTAACAATTTCTTCTATTAAAATTATATACGAAAGTTCAGATTATTTACAAACTATTTAAATTCTTATTTGATAAGTTGTGCAAGTAAACATAACTGTAGCGATGTAATGTAAATTTATCTTTAAGAAATTGTGAAATATTGATATAGTATATATTACACTAAGATAACACATACATTCACATACATATACATATATTATATTCTTGGGATGATATAAAAAAAAATTAATGTTTTATCATATACATGTATTTTTCAAACATTTTTTTATAAAGTCTTATTTTTGTTATCAATTACCTCTCCCATTATTTTAGCATAATTCCTATGTCTAGAAAAACAATAGTTTTTCAAACTTTTAAAATGAATGATAAATTCACTTACCAATCATTGCATCGCCAACTTGCTGTTGCATTATTTATCATCATCTTGACCTTGTTTCTAAAAATTAAATTAAAATGTATTAATATTATATGTCAAGATAGACATTTTATTGAATATTCTGTTCAATTAATTTGGGCAATTAAAGTTAGATTTTATTATATATATTAGATATAATTACTCCATAAAAAATATATATATATATATATATATATTTTTTTTTTTATTGTATTTAAATTAATATACAATTATGTATTACTATTCTTAACATTCTCGTTATGTGTCTATATTTGTAGACAATATTCTCAATAATCTCTAATTTTTTATCAATATTTTAAATAAAAATATATTTGGAGCAACGGTTGTGCGAAGTTTACTTGACAAATCTATCGCACTATCAATGAAATTTATTGTATTTAAGTATAATACAATAGTTACAGGATTTTTACACGCGCTGCACACACTTACTTGCAGACAATATTTCTTTACAATTTAATTTCTTGATAATTTTCTTTAATTATACTTACTTTTTCAAGCTACAGTCGTGCGGAGTTCAGCAAACTTTTAGAATTATCGCATCACCGACGCGATATTAGTATTTACGTACAATACGACAATCTCGGATACTTTTTTCAATTTCTTCTCGATTTTTAACACACATTTCTCGCAGTTGACTTTTACTTTTAATTATTTCACGACGCTTGATCACTGATTTATCTCCCACATCCATCGTCGCCGCGCGCACGAATAGAAATATCCAATATCTCAATATCTCAATATCCGGTTCCGTTTTCTGTGGTCCGATTTCATTATTCCGAGTTCATAATACGCGACTTGAATTTTGCCATAACATTATTTGAGCGCCAAATTTTAAACGTCAATTACGCGTTAATAATTAATGCATGATAAAAATTATTACACGATATATTCGCATTTTATATTTGCCTTATGTTGATCTTTGATATATATATTAATGTCATATTTATATTCAATAACGTGGCATTTAATAGAAATGCATTTCGTGACAGTCATATTTGATTCGCGCGCGACATCCATGTATTCGGAATCTTGGAATCGAACCGCGGCGCTCGAAGCGATTCGGAAATTGAATTAATCAGTTTCCGGTTTCGTCTACGATGCACGTCGCGCGCGATCGGTGCCAGGACGATTGTAATACGGATATAATCGCGAAATATCATCGAATATCGCGAGTGCCGAGGATACAAAGTCAACCGATCTCTACGATTAACGATCACAATTATTATATATCACGGTGCGTGCGTGTGTGTGTAATATTACGGTGATGAAAATCACTCGGTCCTCGTCGCGTCGTCTTAATGAAAATATAGATCGCTCGCATGTGAAATATATCAGGAGTGCCGGAAAAATTATCGGACAATCTTCTTTGGACAATCTTCATTCTTCAAATTATCCGTAAATACGAGTAAATCGTATCGATGGCGTGAATTCGTCAAGTGAAACTTCGCGCGACCGTAGCTTTGAATTTTGCAAAAATACCTGCGAAAAATGAAGTAAGCAAGAGTAAATATCGCCTGCGAATAAACATGCAAGTGTCGAGATAATTCTCGGGCCATCGTTTTATTACATCAAAGTATATATCGCGTTGCCCTACTTTTGTCGAGTGAAAAATTGTGCGCGATAGGCGCGACTCAGCCCTAGGGAAGGTTCAAACATGTCGGGATATCGATAACAAGCTGGCCGCGCGAGGAGTCGAAAGCCTCTGTCCAATCGATCATGGAAACCGACAGCAAGTTAAGCGCGTGGCCGCGAGAGCGCGCCGCAGTTTGTTACAAGATGGCGGGTGAGTGAGTGCCCGTGGGACGGGACGAGGCTGCTCCGAAAAACACGAGGGATTTTCCGCTAACCCGTGGTGTTTGTGGGTTTCAGATATATCCTACATCCAGACAGAGGATCTAGAGGACCCGGACGAGGGTGAGTACCTTGTGGAGCGCGAACGCTCCTTTACTTTCCGGAGGTACCGTCGTCGCGCGACACGCGACACGACGACCTCGTCCCGACGATCGCGACTCGCGTTCCTCGCGACGGGGGATTCTATCGGGATCGCACGTCGACCCGGAAATCCGTCCCGGAGTCACGTGCTCGCGCGTGGATGCGCACGATCGCGCGATCCACCCACGCGACGAAATCGTCGCTGATCGCGACGTCGTCTCGGGGCCGCGCGATCTCGCACGCCGCGGTTTTCGAGGTTAGGTCGATACGTCGCGGCGCGCGCGCGACCGGGGACCCTGGTTCCCCCGCGAGGATTTTCGACTCGCTCGCGCGAACCGATGCCCGGCCACGTTTGACAGCTGGATGTGACAGGCGCCGAGGTGCCCCGCGTGACGCGCGTTCCGCGACGAGATCACAGGGCGTTTCTGCCGGGGGACGCGAGGGGGCGCTGTGGAACGCCACGCCGCACGCGGTGTTTATCTCTCGCGGCGCGAGAGAGAGGAAGGTAGTCGCGGCCGGTGACGAGAGAGAGAGAGCGTGTTGTCGTTTCCGTCGTCGCGGCGGCGAGGACGTTGTTCTCGAGAGGCGAGATCGCGTCGCGTTCTTCGAATGAGCGATCATCTGCAATTCGATAGGGATCGATAGGGATCTCGAGGATCTCTTGAATCGGTTAATATACTCGGTGTTTATTAGATGTCGATTTATCGATAAAAATATTTAATTGATTGTTATCTCGAGGAAATTGACACGTTTCAATGAGACGTCGATTCGAACTTAAAATTATGTAGCTTAATCTTAAGATTTTTTTTAATATTCAATGTATTTATGTCAGATATTCCATACAGCATAGATTATTGTTGTTATATTGCAGCAATGTTGCAATATAATTATTTGTATTATATTTTACATTGTTTGTCATATTTGTATTCAGGATTAAGGAAGAGGAGTGATTTTTAAAATGTAAATTTGGCAGAATTAAAAAGCGAATTACTTTAATCCTCATTAAAAATATGATCGAGGAATTTAACAGGAATTTCACAGTTATAGACAAATAATTTGAATGACGTCGACACTTGATTACGACCGACAGTTGCAGTAGACGTTTTATAATTGTCGCAGCGGGACGCGATTATGACTAAACGACACGATTATATTTTCAAATGTCGCCGATAATTGCAACCGACAGTTGCGACAATGTCGCAGATTGCGGATAAAAATGGGATTCGGGTATAATTGATACGCGCGACACATACGAATGATTGAAAACGCGCAATAATCGCCTAAAATACGGTGTGTTCGAGAATTGGAGTCACGAAAAGTGGCGGCATCTCGAAAGATGAAAGAAAACGGCGCAGTTTGTACGATCCTTCCTCTATCGGGGTTACTGATCTCTCGGCTCCCTCTTCTATCGTCTATTTGCGAGTGCCATCTGTCGTAAATAGGGACGTACCAGGTCGACGGTTTTCCGGCCCCGGAGAACGCGTCCCCTCCGGGGATCTCCCTGAATTTGAAATATCCGGAATATCTGAAACATGCACGAGATCAAATTTCTCGCGATAATTCATAATTTACGCGATTATGCATAATCCAACGAATTATCCGGCGATTACTCCGGTTTGAGACGCGAACGTATTTATCTCCTCCGTTTCTCCTCGCGAGTATCCCTCCGACGTCGAGCAAGCTGGTCCTAGCTGCCTCTTTATCTTACATTCCAGAGACCGTTTATCAGCTTCGCTCCGCTTATATTTCTAAGCGTCTAGATAGAGAGAAGTATATATTCGGATCAGTAACCTCTTCCCGATGCCCGAGCGTGCCCAGATCTAGAGATCGGGAGAATGTTACTCCTCGTGTAAAGCGGACATCGCTTTGCGAGTCGATTATTCGAGGGTATCTAGCCCCTGGAAAA